GGGGGGGGGGAGTGTGTGCCGGTGGTCGCTCTCGTACCAGCCACGAGAGTTTGTTGGACTTGTGCTCATGCGACGCAAATCGACGGCCGAGAGCATCGTGCAACTGGCCGGCCAGCCAACAGAAAGAGAGCCACAGCTGTACACCGTCAGTCACCCTTTCTCTGCTTCCCCTTCCTCCTCACATCCCACCGACCTTTTCGCGCCGTTCTTCCTCGTCATAGTATCTGTCCGGGTCGCCATAGCGGTAGTCGTCGAGCTCCTCCTCATAGTCGTCATAGTCATCCCCCCACCCGTCATCGTGCCCGTAGTCGTCCTCAAACTGCACACGGTAGCGGCCGCCCCCGGGGTGGTCGTCCTCCGCACTGCTGCTGCTGCTGCTGTGGCTGGCATCGTTGTGTTTGCCGTACTCGTGGAAGTGGTAGGCGGGAGGGTGGTCGTTGGCTGTCTGATGGGGAGAAGAGCCTGACAACGGAGCGGGGCACAGAACAGAAAAAAGGAAACATGGTTGTCCGTGATTTGCCTCCTTGTGTGTGTGGTGAAATTGGTGAAATGGTACCGTTGTTTCTGGCGATTGGCGAGTAGTTGATGCTGAAGTGGGTGAAGAGGATCACCCCGACCACAACGCCACTCAACACAGCGATGAAAGGCACCTGATGAAATAGGAGAGTAACAAACAGACAGAGAGGATCAACGCGTCCATCCTTCCCTCCATGCATTCCACTCATCGCCTCGTGGATGACGGTGCGTTCGCCCACCTTGTTCAGCCCCTTGGCCTTCCCATCGCTGCTCCCGTCGTCTATCAGCAGCCCTTCGCGAAAGTCAGACTCCCTCCGCCGCTTCAACGCCCGGAAAGACGCCATCTCACACACACACGAGCTACGATGCCCAAGTACCAGGGTCTCTCAACCACTTCCGTGAATGCATCAACGAGGGAAAAAGGCTTCAACGGGGTGCCAGGATCTCCCTGGCCCGACCAGGATCGCTTGCGAGCTTTGAAGGGTACAGAAAGATCTCCCAACAGCCGCTGTGTTGGTATCTTCCTTTGTCCGACGCGCATTGTTGTTTGTTTGCTGCGCATTCATCTCATCATGGCAACGGCGCCTGCCGAAATCACTGCCATCCTCAACAGCGTCAGCGAGGCCAGCGCCCGCATGGCGCGATTCAACGAGCTCGTCGCCGCACTGTGCGCACAGGAGAAAGTGCCAGAACTCACGCGGCTCGTCGACTTCAGTGAGTCAACACAGTCAGACAGAAGAGTTGGAGCACACTCACGAGTGTGATGTGTTGATTTGTGTGTTAAGTACTGAGTGAGGATTCGTCTCAGTTTGCGCTGTTTTCGCGTCCGCTGCTGCACGAGGTGGCGGTGAAGATGGGCGGCATGGCGGACGGTAACAAGAAGATACTCGCCGTACACGCACTCGACAAGATGCGCGCACGAGTGGTGTCCTACGAGGAAGAGGTCAGCTCACATGCACACATACACGGACACGTTGATGGCAAATGGCGCCTGTGGATGTGTGTGTGTGTGTGTGTCTGTGTGCAGGATTACATCATTCGCGAGCACCTGGCTGCTGTGCATCAGCATGAGGGGGTGAGTGTTGACCTGAGGCTAAACATGACACGTACAGGCACATGTGGCGTGTGTTTTGTGTGCTTTCCATCGCCGCACACAGGAGTTTTCAGCCGCTGCCCGCTGCCTGGCCCAAATCAATCTGGAGAGCGGCTCACGGTGAGCCCGCACAGACACCCCCTCCCTCTTACAGACAGACACACACACAGACATCTGTGCGCGTGTGTGTGTGTGTGTGTGTGTGTTTGTTCAGCCAGCGCAGTGTGGCAGAGAAGGCCGAGAAGTATGTCAAGATAGCCGAGCTCTTCCTCGAAGACGAGGATGCCGTGTCGGCCGGTGAGGCGGCGTGGGCGGAAGGAGTGATTGTGTGTGTGTGGTGGTTGATGTGATGCGTGTCATCCGTCCAGAGGCCTACTGCACTCGTGCGTCGATGATCATCCACGAGGTGGACGACGTCAGTCTCAACCTCAGATACAAAGTCAGCCGCGCACGCCAGTCCACACACACACATGGAGGGACCCCTGTGTGTGTGTGTGCATGTGTGTGCCGTGTGTGTCGTGTAGGTGACGTATGCCCGCATTGTGGACTCGAAGCGTCAGTTCCAGCTCGCAGCAAACCGGTCAGGCAGTGAGTGTGACCCACACGTCTTCACGTCTGTGTGTGTGCGTGCGTGTGTGTGTGTGTGTGTGCCTGTGTGTGTTGGTTCAGGTACTATGACCTGTCGCTGAACCTCAACAACCTGCAAATCGTACGAACACACACACACAGACGCGGCAAAGGGGTCATGGTCGACTGGATGAGTCATGCATCCGTCCGTCGTCAGGATGAGGAGGACCTGGAGAAGCTCCTCAAGAATGCCTGCACATGCGCCATCCTGGCACCTGCTGGTAGGGGGGTCTGCACCATCGATGGATGGATGGATGGATGGATGGACGGCACACTCACACACACGCGCCATGCTGCAAATCCACGAATTCGTTCATCCTGACCGTGCTGTGCTGTGCCATGATGTTTGTATCAGGCCCGCAGCGGTCTCGCCTCCTCGCCATTCTGATGAAGGTAGGTCGGTCGCGACACAGCCGACGTGTGTGTATGTGCGTGTGTGTGGTGAGTGCAGGACGACCGTGTGCCCAAGCTGGAGAGCTACGGTGTGCTCAAGAAGATGTTCCACGAACGCATCATACGAGGCGCAGAAGTGGCCAAATTCGCAGGTATGAGAGGAGAGAGACATTCACTTCCCGTATTGGTCTGTACGTTGTGTGTGTGTCTTTACAGAGACTCTGATGGAGCACCAGAAGGCCTCCTTCGCTGACGGCTCCACAGTACTCGACCGCGCCGTACTCCAACACAGTAAGCCAACCACACACGCAAACACACACACAAACACACATGTGGTTCTTCACCATGTCTCTGTGTGTGTGCAGATGTGTTGGCGGCCTCCAAGGTGTACAGCAATATGCTGCTGGGTGAGTTCGGGTCGCTGCTGGAGGTGGACCCCCGCAAGGCCGAGAAGGTGGCGGCCCGCATGATATTGGACAGCAACCTGGAGGGCTACATCGACCAGCGCAAGGGCGTCATCCACTTTGGCGTCACCGAGAGTGAGCACCTCAAAAGATGGGACGCCAAGATCGGACACATCTGCATGAAAGTCAACCGCATACTCGAGGCCATCGAACCCGCTGCTGAGGTGGGTAGGCCAGCTGTCTGTCTGTCTGTCTGGATGTGTCACTTTGTTGTGTGTCGTGTGTCGTGCAGGCGAATGCGGTCATGGTGGGCTGACTGATACATGCGTCCACGAGGACTAGTGTACCTATGTGTGTGCGGCGTGTGCATTCAACTGCGTGACTATCGGACGGAGCTCTTTCGCGTATGTGTGTACAACAAGTTGTGACTTTCCAGACAGTCGACCGTACAAAGCCATGATCATGACATGAGGCTGACACGAACGCAACTTCTCACTGAAGCTCACTGAGGCTCAGGGACCCTTGCTCAAAGAAAGACAAGTGCCTTGAATTATCGAATGAACATCTACGCACACATTCATTCATTCAATCGATTGCGCTGTGTGGCTGAGCGTATTTAGTGTCGACACTATATGTGTACATATGTTGAACGCTGAATGATGAGCGTGACAAATGAGGGTGGGGGGGTGGGGCACTGTATGAAGTGTTTTGTGTGTTCGCTATGTAGTCGCTTTGGGACGTATGTGCTGTATGGTTCGCGCATATTGATCCATACAAGTCATCCATTCTATCTGCGCCCTGCCACAGAAAGAAGTAATGTCAGTGTCTTCTTCACACACAACTGTCACAGCCTTCACAGTTTGAAACATACACACATCACTATAAGACACATCATCGCTGCATACAGACACCTTCACCTAAACGGGCGGCAGGGTACATCGAGAAGAGCAGAATGCGTGCAGCGAGTGACTGCACTACCTGCCATCCAACCCCTCTTCCCTCCGTATCCATGTGTCCAGCGGCTCGCTCAACAGATCAAAAGGACACGTTGCTGCCAATGACGAACCACTCAGCAGCTGCAGGTCACTCTGCGATGGAACGATCCACTTGATCCCCCTGCCCTTGCCGACGATGACTCGTGTTTCTCCCTTGTCGTCAGACCTCTTTCTAAGGTAGACACACTTCATCGTGACTGGGGATGCCGGGGGAGGGGCGAAGGCAGACTGGAGTCGCCGCCGAAGTTCCCCCAGCAAGCCGCTCCCGCTGGGTGCAGGCGAAGGGAGAGGGAAAGAATTGCTGGCTGCAGAGAGGTCAAATGGCATGCCCTCAGTCCCCGTCTCTTCTGGTGGTGCTTCCGCCCCGCGCCGACACTGGTAGGCCCACACGTCGTCCAGTTTGCCATCCTTCGTGACGACAATAAAGAAGTCGAACTCATAAAAGCGGTCCAAACCGGGCTGCAGCAGGAAGGCAGTGGTGCCGCTCTTGAGGGAGGGGAACAGAGTGAACTCGTGGGAGACGCCAACTTCCAGCCACTCGGCAAGAGTCATAGTGCCTGTCCAGCTATCATTGACGATACATCCGCCGAACTGACAGCCACGGGACCTCCCAGGGGCTGCGAAGACGGCAGGCGGCACAAGCTGCGAGAGCTCGGCTGGCATAGGGGGGATGTCCTCCAGTTCAGTATCGTTCCTCTGAAGCAAGTCGCTTTGCAGCATGCGCAGAGTGACGGCTGCCCGACAGGGAGCCCCCCACTGCTCTCCCGACTCGTCCTTTGCAGTGGCGAGCTCCTTGAGGAAATCCTGCATAGCATAGAGCCCTTCGCTGAACGGCATCCCAAGCTTGTCTCTTGTCGCTTCTCTCCAGTACAGCCACGCAAGCGTGGAGGCGAGATAGCAGGGAGGCCACACATGCACCTCGTCTCCCTTGTCGTCCTGGAAGACGTCCATTCGCCTCGACCACTCGCCGATGCCGTCAGATTTGGTGCCGGCAGGGAAGCGGCCGTCGATAGCTGTCTTCAGTACGCAGACCAACAAAAGCAATACTTTCTCTCGCGTCAGCTCACCACGATAGAAGGGTTCTTCCACGTCGTCCGTCAGCCATTCGCGATTTTGTAGTTGCGGCTGACCCACAGGAGTGCGGGCGACCTTCCAGCCCAGCAAGTAACAGCTGGGCTTGCTCCATAGAAGTCTCGCACGTGCTTCAGATCCTCCACACCGATAACGGGCAGCCGTGGCTGAAGGACCGGTCGGTTGCTGTCACAGTTCAGAAACTTCCTGAGGTCGTTCTTGATTGTGGTGACGTGGCTGGAGAAGACGAAGTAGCGCTGCCCCTTCAAGAGGAAGTCGGTCTTCAGGTACTCGCCTAGGTCGTTCTCCATATGAAGATAGCGCTCACGCTTGACCACCTTGTTTAACTCGTCGATAAGCATGACACATGGTTGATCCCCAAGCCAGTTGTCAATCGTCTCCCTTGTGACAGACACGTGCTTGAGCCAATCCGAGAAACGCAGCCTGTCCACAGCGACGCCTGCCCTCTCTGCAACCGCCTCACGCGTCTCCGTCTTGGCCGCCGCCCACGCCGCCCGGAGGTAGACTGAGTCGAGCAGTGTCGGGGCGAAGGCCTGCTCGCCTTTCGCGCCAGTCGAGTACAATGAGCCCTCGTTGAAGGAAACAAAGAGCGGATTCATGCGCTTCGCTTTTAGTCTGTTGCCCATCTCGTACAACATTGTCGTTTTGCCACCGCGCGAGAAGCGAGTGAATGTCATCGGCGCCACACGATACGCAGCATAGTCAGTTTCTTGCTGATACTCAGCCTCCAGCAACATAAGGGCGTTGTTGAGATAGGTATCGCCGATGAATTTTGGGGGCTCCTTGGTTTGGTCGATAATCTCTTCAGGCAAGGGCACGTCAGCCAGGTCCATGAGGTCATTCTTGGTCAACTCGACACGCTCTGTTGGCACAGGTTGCTCGCCGCGCTCTGTTGGCACACGTTGAACCAAATCGACACCGACATACAACAGACAGACAAACAGCCTACACACCTTTGCTGCTCGTGTGTGTGTGTGTGTGTGTGTGTGTGTACCTGCGCCCTTGAATGTTTTCCAAAGTTCGAAGGTTAATGACGCAAGTAACTCCTCCTCGCCCTACATAGAGGAAGGAATGCACAAAATGCGCCGTTTCATGGCTGGGTCTGTCCAACCGACCTGCTCTCTCAGCCGCGTCACGATTCGATCGTACGCTTGTCGGTCTGGGTCGTCATCTATCTCAGACTGCGTGGCGCTGGAGAGTAGGGCCGTGTGATTCTGTATAGACGGCCATCTGACGGGCACACACATGCAGCGAGCTACCTGTGTGTGAGTGTGGGGGGTGGGGGGTGCGTGTGTGCTTTCTGTTCGTGCCTTGTGATGAGCGAGTGCGGTGACAGGCGGGAAGATGCGGACAGAAAGGCAACCTGAGTCAGCCGCACACGCACACACAGACACACAAACACACGGAAGTGTGTCAAGGGCACCCGCACCGTCAGTCTACCTGAGTGTGGTGGGCATTCACAGGATGCTTTCGACGCCCTGTCACGATTCTCACGAAGGTGGTCCCCCTAGATCTCCTCCCATGGTGTGCACTCATGCGCATCTTGTTTCCGCTTGGCAGGGAAGCAGCAGGGCCCATCATCGCGATTGAGAGCAAAGCACAGACGATACGGGAGAGGGACAGGGGCCGCATAGAAACGACCATTCTGCCGCGGTGGCGGATCACCGGGTGACCGATTGACGCCTGCCTGCGTCGCATCACGCAACGTAGGCGGACATGGAGATGTGAGAGTGGCTGGTTGGTCCTCACCTTCTCAGACCATGTGGCGCGCTCTTTCGATCTGCGCGCTCAGAGGGATGGGTTTCCCCTTTTCGCCTCTCGGCTTTCCATGTTGCCGACCGCGACGACGGTCGAGCAGATCTTGAGTCAGCATGAGAATTTGATGAGTTCTTATCCCATCTGAGCTCTGACTGACTGCTTCTCCATCTTCGTGAGCCACGGTCAGGCAGACACATAAATGCATGCAACGAGTGCTCTTCAGCACCGAGTGCGTGTCGTGTGACTCTAATTTGTCCTTCTTCAGACACAAGAGTTTGTGTGCATTCATGTGAGTGAGTGGGTGGGTGGATGCGTGCGCAGGATGCTCACAGTCCGCTGTTTCTGTTCTACTCGCCTGACCTGAAGGGCTGGGTCATTTCTGACGACGTAAGTGAGCCACTGCAGTGAGACGACGGAGGCAAAGACAAAGACACAGCAAACACCTCTCTCTGTGTCCATCTCTCCCCCTTGCAATGGTTCCTGGATGCGCGTTGTGTGCAGGTGGACAATGACTACTACCCATTTGCCGTGCTGCCCAGCCAGTCGCTGTTGCCCCTCAACACACAGCACAATCCACACGGACATATCAAGCACACAGACACAAGACCAGCCGACCAGCGGTGGCCGATAGATCACGGGACGACGGCGCATTGGTGGGTGCGGCAGGCCTGGTGGGATGAGGAGCATGAGGATGAGGACGACAGCTTTGATGAAGACGCCGCTGTGGTCGTCCAAGGTGAGCGCCGCGAGGGGGCAGAGACACATCGACTTATGCTGTTGTCTCTGTGTGTGTGTGGGTGTTTGTGCAGTTGCGGGTGGGTATGACGAGTACAGGATGGCGCACAGCAGAGTCATGGGCAGGCACAAACACCACCACAAGGTCAGGGCAACCACACACAATCAGACAGACAGGACCAGACCACCTGTGTGTCTCTGTGTTGTCCCCGTTCCATGCAGAGACTGCTCACAAAGGTGCGCGAAAAGGCGGCAGCCAACGGGGAGGGGGCCAGCGGCGCCTCTCACCACCAGCATGACATCGGCAGGTCCCACACCCCCCTCTCCCCCGCCCCCACGGCACCCCTTTTCGCAGCAGCCAGACGGCAGCCAATCCACAGATAGACACACACACGCGCGCGCGCGCGTAGAGTAGCCATCACCGCCACCAGCATGTCTGTGTGATGCGTCTAGTTTGGTGGGTGGACGCCTGCATTGCGCTATGCCAGCGGCGCACTGGCTGTGGGTGGGTGGGCGGGTGCCTGGGTGGTGGTGGGATGGTTTTGTTGGTTTTGTTCTCTTTTTTCGTTGGCGTGGCGCGACGACATGTGTGTGTGGCCCTTCCACGTAGCTCATCTCATCTCATCTTTCCAAACACACACATGCATTCAGTAGTGCGTCCCACTCACTGGTCAAAGGATGCTGCACACGAATCAAGGCGCCAAGCAGAGAGAGCGTGCTTGTGCTGTGCTGTACGATACACACATACATGGAACAATGGAGCAAAGAAAACGCGGGGAAAAGACTTGCCCACTCACCCACGCGGCTACACGGGTCGCATCAATCATGGCAGACAGGCACACAGACAGACACTTAGACAGACAGAACATACTGCCAGAATCAACCACACCACACCCTCTCGCTTTTTGTACGGTACTGAACCCCTTGTCTCTCTTACAAAGAACGAGCAGATATGTACACTGCAGTGTGTGCACAATCGACACCTGGATGGGATGGACCATCCATCCACTCACTTGACGCAAACACACACCAGCCACCCACTTGATGTCACCCACAGCTCCACACGGACGGTACGGTGCTCGTGCTTAAACAAAGACGCACGAGCCCCTTTTACACAGCCATCAACAAAGATATGTACACTTATACCATGTGGGTGTCCACACACGCACCCAACCACACACACTATGTGTGCTGTGGTGCGTCTAATAGTAGCCACCGCCCCCATACCACTTGTCCTTGATCTTCCGCTTGATTTTGTTCCACTTCGTCTTGAGCTTGTCCTTGATCTCATACCACTTGTCCTTGCCCAGCCTCCTCTCTGTGGGACTCGATGACTCCTCCACGGCCTCCAGGCCACTGGGCTCATCTTCATCTGCACACACACACACACACACACACACGTGGCCAACACAAGGATGACGTGTGGGCGAGGTGGGGATGTCTGCACACCCACCTGGAGGTGCAGCCGTCGGCTCATCAGCCGCGTCCTCACAGTCTGCTGCCGCTGGCCCCGCCACAAGAGCATCAGACACACCACCTACAGGCACACAGGCACACAGGAAAGGCACGTACTTGTGCAGCGTGTGTGTGCACGAGCTGCAAACAGCCATCGTGTGTGCGTACCATCGGATGTCACTTCGTCGGCGTCGTCAGCTATCCCGCCTCTCAAACGCCGTGCCACCGCAGACGGCGCATCAGCAGGAGCAGCTGGCTTCATATCATCAGCGCAGACCAGTGCGATGCCGAGCAGGCACACCAGCATGGAAAGGGAGAGGGCCTTCATCGGTCGTGGAGCGGACGTCGGAAGGAAACGCAGACGAGCAGCGGGCAGATGAACGACAACAAGGCGCTTGGTGAAGAGAATAAGCTGAGGAGAGAGAGAGACTCGGAGTCAAGCGATGACAGTGGAGTCGAGGGATGCTGCAGATGGACAGAGAAGGGGGCGGCCGTTAAGACAGAGGGCAGAGAGACAGGGAGATAGCAGGAGGGCTGTCGTCGCACGGCTAACGCAGAGAGAGGAGAGCGCGCGATCCGCAACGGCGGCGAAAGATGTAAAGGATGTAAACGTTGTCCCCGCCGCGGAATTTGCCGATGATATCGGAGCCGCTGCCTCGGCATCCGATGCCCGCTCCATGTGGATGACCGTGAGGGGGCTGACGGCAGCCATAGCGGTGAAGTGATTCTCTTTGAGTAGGCACCTTAATCCGGACCACAATGCAGCCCCGTTCAATTGTCCCTCTGCACGGACGATGCGTCCAGTGTGCCGTCCCTCACGGCCCATCTTCACCGGGCACGCACGCACACACACACCCTCTCAATTTCTCTCCTCACATATACACAAAGGCGCCTACACGACGCTGGTGTAGGATGAGGCCTACAGCGGCAGCAACTCGTGTGGCCCGCCGGCGGCAATGGGACGGATCATGAGATGTCCCAGGTCGTGTTTCAACCAAGGACTGCTCTCACCACCGCCAGTGACGCCATCCAGCCGAAAGAAACGAGCTGGCGTCCGTCGAGTGACAATGATACCCCACACAGAGACAGCATGCCTCCCTCCCTCCCTCTCTCTCTCTCGCAGACAGAAAAACCGCTGCATTCAGCCACGAACGAACACCCTCATCTGCCTTACCATCAGCCCTCTATTTCTTTAGGGTGACTTTGCCGCCGATCATCTTGTGCGCCGGTCTGCCGTGGATGAGCGTCCTCCGCGCGAACTCACTGCCGCAGGAGTGGCACGTCAGGTCGCCATTGGTGAAGTCCTCAACGATGCGCTCCTCATAGCACTTGACGAGCGTCCCCTTGCCGCCCTTCTTGTACCGATAGAGCAGCTCCCCGCACTTGGCGCAGTGCACGAAGGCCGTCCTCTCTGGCAACCTCTTGCGCGGCTGCACACACCCACACGCAGGCAGACAGACAGGCAGACAAACAGACAGGCAGGCAGCACACGGATTGAGAGCCAAAGGGAGTGCAGATATGTGTGTTTTTCGGACCTGTGCGTTTAGGATGGTCGATGGATGGCCGCTTGCGCCATTCAAGATGCTTCTCGGGATGCTACCAAGCAAGATGAAGCAGGGCTCGGGCGGCCGCTCAACTGCCGTCGGATAGTTGTCAGTGATCAAACAGCCGTGGAGCCTCTTCGTAAGGACGCACAGCGCAGCCAAGAACCACAGTGCTGTAGCGAGGTTCTTCCTTCTTCGGCGCTTCCAGGATGCCATCATTTCAAGAGATCTGCGGCACCTGCACACACACAGAGAGATGTATCATGAATGTGGTGATGGATCTTGGCCACTTTCTGTTCGTGTGGCTCTTCCTCCCTCACCTGAGTGCCCCTCACGACGCCGGAACGCCCTTTTCCACTTGCGAGCTTGAAAAGAAGCTAAGCTCGCAGACGGGAGCAGATCTCATTCAGCCTACGTGTCATCGCCAACACGTTACCATGATGAAGAATCGGGAGCGAAAACGCGGGTCATCTTCTTCCCGTCCTCGTGGAAACGCGTCATCAACAGAGAGCGGAGGCCGTGATTCTTATCATCAGTCGGGACGAGGCGGCAGCGGTCACAGAGGCCGCGGCCATCACAAACGAGGGAGCAGAGGCCAAGGACGGCCCGCAAACCCAAAGGTCAGCCGCAGCAATCGGGACGCTGCCGAGATCACCGAGCTGACCCAGCGAACTCTCATCGAGTGCCCGCAGCCAGGCCAGCAGTGGCAGCCGCCCATCGTCGCTTCTCTCGCCAAAGCATCAGTATCATCACATCAGGACCCTCATGATGATGACCAGGACAACCTGCCAGCCACGGGCGTCATGACGGTGCATCTGTTCTCGGATTTGCCGATATCGCGTCACTCGCTGCAGGGGCTGCGTGAGGGGGGCTATGCGCGGATGACGGAGATCCAGCGTGCGGCCATCCCCCATGCCCTGTGTGGCCGTGACGTGCTGGGGGAGGCCAAGACGGGATCGGGCAAGACACTCGCATTCGTTATACCGGTCAGCTTACACCACACACACACACACACACACACAGAGAGAGAGAGAGAGAGAGAGAGAGCTGGATGGATGGATGGATGGATGTGTTTCGCTGTGCGTGTTTGTGTTGCAGGTGTTGGAGTTGCTGTATCGGCGTCGGTGGGGCCGCACCGACGGGCTGGGGGCTCTGCTGCTCTCGCCCACTCGAGAGCTGGCCGCACAGATATTCGACGTACTCAGCAAAGTCGGCAAGTAAGAAAGATAATAGACAGATGACACTCCCTCTCTCCCTCCCTGTCTGCCTGCATCCCTCCCCCTCTCTGTATGCATGTGTGTATGTGTGCGCGTGTGTGTGTCAGGTACCACACTTTGTCGTATGGTTGTCTGATTGGCGGCAAGGACGTCAAGAACGAGCAGGAGCGGCTGAGCCTGCTGTCGGTCATCGTGGCCACGCCGGGGAGGCTGCTGCAGCACCTCGAGCAGACGCCCCTCTTCGACACACAGCACCTGCAGATGCTCGGTGCGTTGGCCATTATGTGTGCGTGTGTGGTTCTATCGGTGTGTGTGTGTGTGTGTGTGTTGCCATAGTGTTGGACGAGGCGGATCGCGTGATGGACATGGGTTTCCGCGACACCATGGAGCGCATCCTCGAGTACCTGCCCTCCGACAGGCAGACGCTCCTCTTTTCGGCCACCCTGCACCATGCCGTCAAGGACCTCGCTAAGACAATGATGAAGGTCAGCCACCAACACACACACAGATGAGAGAGAGAAACAGCCACACACCTGTCTGTCTGTGTGTGTGTGTCTGTGTCTGCAGTCGGCTCATGAGTACCTGCGTGTGCACGCCAATGCGTCGACAGCGACGCCGGTCCGTCTGCGGCAGACCTACATGGTGGTGCCGCTGGAGAGGAAGGTCGACACGCTCTTTGCCTTCCTCCGCACACACGCCGCCAAGAAGATGATCGTGTTCCTCTCGTCAACCAAACAAGTCAGGTACCTCTACGAAGTCCTCAGAGTACTAAAACCGGGTACGTCACACACACACACCTACACACATGCATCCCCCTTTCTCTCTCTCTCTCCCTCTCTCTCTTCGTGTGTGTGCGCAGGGTGTTCCCTGATGGAACTGCACGGCAAGCAGTCGCAGCTAAAGCGGCTGGAGGTTTTCCAGTCGTTCGTCAGCCGAGCGGCCGGCAAAGGAGGCGGCGGGGGTGGTGTGGCGCTGCTGGCGACTGACGTGGCTGCGCGGGGTGTGGACTTCCCTGATGTGGACTGGGTGGTGCAGGTGGACTGTCCCGACTGTGTCGACTCGTACATTCATCGGGTGGGCCGGACGGCCAGGTACACGAGTGTGGGCCACGGGCTGCTCTTCCTCATGCCGTGCGAGAAGGGATTCGTCGACAGACTCAGGGAGAGAAAGGTCAGCCGTATGGTGGAGGGGGAGTGGGGTGGGGTGGTTGGATGCGGCATTGCTCTCTCTCTCTCTCTCTGTGTGTGTGTGTGTGTGCAGATTGAGGTGAGTGTGATATCGATGAATCCCAAGAAGCGCATGTCGGTGCAAGGCAAGCTCCAAGCCACACTCGTAGCAAAGTACGTCACGCCAGCCACAAACACACACACACACACACACACACACAAATGCCTTCCTGTCTGCCCGCGCGTGTGTGTGTGCCTCCCCCTCTCAGTCCGCACATCAAGTACCTGGCCCAGCGCGCCTTCTGCTCGTACATCCGGTCCCTCCATCTCCTCTCGCCATCGTCCAGCGGCACCAACACACTCGAGCAGACCGACCTGCCCGCCTTCGCTCTCTCACTGGGCCTCCCCACCGCCCCAGACATCCACATCAGTACTGCGGGCGGGACGGCGGATGACGGCAACGGCGAGGAGAGCGACGACGACGGCGACGACGAGGGCGAGCAGCGTGAGATTGGTGCGTCTGCCCCCGCCCCCGCCCCAGGAGGGCGAAAGATGAGCAACTTGGAGAAGCTGAAAGAGAAGATCCGGCTGCGCAAGGTGGAGAAGCAGCTGAGGAGGGAGGGTGGTGCTGGTGGCGCTGTGTCAACACACACACCATTACCAACTCCCACGCAGACGTCATCCACCGAGCGTCGAGGGGGCGACACCGTCAAGGGAGAGAGACGACACGCGCAAGAGCGGAAGGCTCACGAGCCGGATGCTCGTGACGGTGACGACGAGGAGGAGGATGACGACGATGAGCTGCTGGTGCCCGTGGGTGGGTCGTCTGGCTCACGAGAGAGGCAGCCGCCGATTGTGGACGAGTCGGTGCATCAGCGGAAGAGGCAGCAGATGCTGGAGCAAGGTGAGTGAGTGAGCGGACAGAGAAGTGCTGCCTACCAATTGTGATTCTGCCTGTCTGTCTGTCTGTGTGATTGTCCGTGTGTGATACTCGGCAGCATTGCGTAAGCAGCGCATTCGATTTCGCGCTGACGGCACGGCCAAGGTCAAGGGACTCGGTATGCCTGCTCCCACAGGCGTCAAGACACCCAGTGGTCACTCATGCCTAGCTGGTGGTCTCCCTGTGTGTGTGTGTGTGTGTGTCGGTGTGTCGGTGCGTGTGTGCAGCTGGGCTGAGCAAGCTGAGTGAGGAGCGGCACACCTTCTTCCACGACGATGATGACGACTCTGACGAGCAGCAGGAAGCCGAACACACTCCTGCAGCAGACACACAGTGAGAATGAGAGCGAGACACAGACACGCACACAGACACAATCAGTGCATCCCTCCACATATCTTGTCTTGTCGATCAGGCCGCCCGTCGACGAGAGCTGCAACCGAGAAGAAGACCAGAGCGATGACGATGATGCGACGGCCGATGCCGGCCTGAGCGGTCGGCAGCGTTTCCTCGCACAGATGAAGCGCCGACTCGCAAGGAGAAGCCAACAAGACACAGTAAGGACTGCACACCACACCCACAATGCACCAGCCGCTATTCTCAATCTCTCTCTCCCTCTCTCTCTGTGTGCGTGTGGCTGACTGCAGGAGCTTCAGCGTGAGCGTGTCCAGGCCAAGCACAAGAGGAAAAAGTCCCAGCTCAAGAAGCAGAGGCACCGCGAGCAGCGGGGCGGTGCCGGTGAGGAGGACGACCATGACCATGAGCCAGGCGGCGCAACGCTAGCAATGATGCTGGACCAAGACGACGGTGCGGCATCGGCATCGGCATCGGATGAGGAGAGCAGTGCTGGGGAGCAGCAGGAGAGGGCGCCCAAGCGACGCAAGAAGACAAAGACAAACGACGTGAGTGCGCTGGAGGAGATGGCTCTGGCCGCCCTGCAGCTGGGCGGGGGGAACGCCTAGACACTCAGATGTGTTCGTTGGTGGGAGTGATGAGCTGCACGTGTGTGCGAGGGTTGGATCGGTATGGGGTTGACTGACTCATTCAAGCCATGAGTGCATGAGATGAGCGTCACAGACAGACAAGTGTCAATCAACATACTCACATCGCTCTCTGCAGACATACTGCCCGACTGCCTGGCTGCATACGGGGCGAATGCAGGCGTGTGTAGCTGCTGAGACACTTCAGTGCACGCCAGCATGATGGCACACACCGCAGTGCCCCCGCCTCTGCTCACGCACACCATGCCCACGCAGACAGACAGAGTGACAGGCATTCAACTATCACGACACAAGGTAGATACCGGCCTGAAGCTCTGACGCCCCACGAGCCGAGCAAGAAGGACACTTACACCAACCAACATGTGTAGCCAGCTGAGTCAGTCAGAGTGGATGGATGGACGAACTGCACATCGGTCGGACCCCAGGCAAACGAAATGAAATGAAACGAAACAGAACGGAACTGCCCGTCGATCACTCTGATGACACGGGAGAGAAGACGACAGATCTTGTGTGTGTCTGTGTGTGTTTGGTAGGTACCAAAGTCGTGTACGATGGATTCGGGTACGAGTCCGTCCTCCCGGGCCCGGGCAATGATGTCCATCAGCGCCTTGCGCTCCTTCTGAACCAACCAGTCAACCAATGAGTCAATGGATCAAACACACACACACACACTCGTACCAAACACTGACACGTGTGTGTGTGTGTGTGTGTACCTCCTTGCGCACGTAGTGCTTCCAGGTGCGATGGACCGCATCGTTCCACGTCCATACGCAGCTCACACCTGACACCATACACACACAGACAGACAGACACCATACACGGCACACACACGTGCAAACCTGCCTGGCACTCGTATTTATTACCCACCCATATAGCCAATGAGGAGGTACATGAGAGCCGCCGCGGCGGCCGTCATGATGTCGTAGATGCCCTCCTTGAAGTAGTAGAACTGGTACCACGAGGGCAAGTACCGCTTAGCGAAGATGAACAGCCGCTCCACCGCATAGTCGCCCGCCTTGCCGAACCGGTGCCTCCACAGCCTCGTCTGCCCGTAGAAGGACGGATGAGCCAGACGAACCGCACTCAGCCGCAGCAGCATTGTTGTCGGTGTAGACTCGTCAGTTGGCCGATGCGCAGCCGCGCCCGCCTCACAGAAAGCTCCCTCTTCCACTGGACAGCGCCTCCCACTGGCTTTTCTGGCCTTCCCACTCTCCACAGCGAGCTTTCCTTCCGAGCTCGCAAGTGATTGGGAAGGAGCGACGCTGCGGAGGGCTTCTTGAGCAGATCAGGCGGGTGAGGAGGTGCCACAAACAAGGGAAAAGAGAGAGATCTGTCCATCGACGCACGCACATCTATGTGTGCAACGCCTTTGATGCAGTCGGCGTTTCGTGGCTTACACCCAAGATGGCTGACCTGGCAGCGGAGAGATTCAGCGTGACCTCGATTCTCAACCACTTCAACGCGTCAGCAGCCGCCGCCAGTGACGCTATCGGCTCCCTTCACCAACAGGTTCAACAGGCTGAGGCCGACCTGCAGCAAGAGCGGCAGAAACATGGCGCATCGGATGCGGCGAATGCCTCCCCTGACGACGTCCTGCTGCTCAACATCGGCGGCTACGAGCTGAGTGTCAAGCGCCGACGGCTCACACATGGAGAGGGGGTCGAGGGCACCCTGCTGGCCACTATCTTCTCTGGGAGCTGGGACGGGAGGCTCATCAAGCTCACCGACAGGGACAGCAAGGAGCGGATGTTCATTGACATGGACGCTGATGCCTTCAAGCTCATCCACAGGGCCATCTTGGATGCGGAGACCATCCGTAGCGCGACGGCGCGCACGGCCAGTAGGCAGGTGTCTATCAGCCACCTTTTCGAGGAAGCCAAAGAGCGAAACTTCGCTGGTGAGTGAAGATGGAGAGAGGGGAAGGGCCGCCGTGGATAGATCACCATGGTGCGAATGGCTGGCTTCTGGTGTGGACGAACACGTGCAGGGCTTCATGACTACTGGGTCAAGCTGATGCTGTCGCCAATCGACAAGGATGCTGCAGCAGCAGAGGCGACTCACAGTGAGGTCACTGAGCCGACGGTGCCGGCAACAGGCACCCCTGAGGGCCTGGGTGACTTCATGACGGCGGTCGGCTCTTTTGTCAAGGCGTTTGTTGCTGAGAAGGCCCAGCTGGAGAGCGAGCTCGCGGCGGTCAAACGACGATATGAGAACCTCGACAACGAAATCAAGGTGAGATGAAACAATGGGGGCGAAAGAGGGAGCCAGCGATCCATCTCTTGCGCCCTCTTTGTCTCTCTCTCTCTTTCTCTCTCTCTGTGTGTGTGTGTGTGTGTGTGTGAACCAACAGGCTGTCACACCTTTCCTGATGCCTCTGAGTGGCGACGACCCCATTCACTCAGTGAAGGTCTGCGGCCACACCATCGCCACCACACAGTCGACCGTCGACCACATGAATGACAACCTGCGGAACCGATTGAACATGTAGGCCTTCAAGAGCAGTAGACACACCACGATTGACGGCTGCTCGCCCCGTGAGTGTCTGTGCAGGTGGTCTCGGCCAGTGGAGGACGTCCCGCCCGAGCATGTCAGCCGTATGGTCGACCACTATCGCCGTAGACGGCTTGGTGCCTCGCCCGATGAGATCGCCGCGCCGCTGAAGATGGCCAGTGCGACAGAGCAGGAGGCATTCGAAATTAATGCCGCCATGTACGGCGTCAAGACTGTTGACGACACGCTTGGCACACAGAGAGGGTGCCCACAAAAAGGGTTTGGTGCAAAAGGGTTTGGTGTTCTCGCCACATGTCTGTCTGTCTGTCATGCTGCAGGTATTTCACCCGATTGCGTCGAGCATGATGTATCGCGTACTGCGCGAGGGTAGGGGGCCCAAGCCGACACGTACACAGCGAATCACGTACCACCGGATCGCCTGGCGGGACGCATTTGACGGCGAAATAGACAATGAGGGACAAAGAAGTACAGTGGTCTCGGAGCTGGCTTGGTGGGCCCAGGAGGTCCACATCGATATGCGTGTGGGTGAGGTGCGGCGGGTCATGGTTCCGCCACAAGTCTCGCGGAGGGAACCCATTTTTCTTGAGTATCGGCTGATCGGCATTGACGGCATTGACGGCGCCACAACACCCGACAAGAGGTAAGACAACGAGCACCACCGCTAATTGGCCGATGGTTCAATGTGTGTGGTGTTACCGCCCTCCCTCCCTCCCTCCCTCCCTGGTCAGTTCGTCCTCATGGGGATGGCTGAAGGGGCGTTGGTGGCTGCTGGCTGCCGTGTGTGTGGGCCTCCTGATGATCGGAGTGGGCTTCGTCATCAACGGCGGTGCCAGGGAGCATCGCAGCCATGGCGAAATGTGGCAACCACGGCAGACCAAGGCCAAACCGAAGTGCCCGGAGGGCTACCACCTCTGTCATGAGAACATCTGCTGCAGAATCGAGAAAGTCAAGCCCCAGACGTAAGCCACCCACCCCCAGACGTACCCTGAGGCGTCCACCTGCATGTGTGTCTGTGTGTGTGCTGCGTATGTGTGCTGCGCATGTGTCGATTGTGTGTGCAGCTACTGCCCGAAGGGCTACACCGTCAGCAACCACTTCTACGTGAAACACCACATGACGCCCGCGACGCCCTACTGCCCTGGCTGCCCCAAGACAGGCACCGAGGCGTGCTGCCCTGACAACAAGAGTGAGCTCTCACCTCACCACACGAAGCCATGTTGCAGACGACGATACGTTCGCTCGTTGTGTCCGTTGGTCGTGTCCCTCAGCCTCGCCGGACAAGGATGCCGTCTGCACCGAACGTGAGAACTTCCCCGTGCAATACAAATGCCCCGGCGGCTCACAACTGGTCGGCAAGGAGTGCCTCGACACCAAGAGGGCAGTAATGGTAGGTACTTAGGCACCGAACGGACACACACAGGGGCAGCTGACTCGTCTGTGTTGTGCTTGCTGGTCTCTTCCCGTGCTTCAGGTGAAGAAGTGCCCGCCGGGCTACGACCTCGACAAGCTTGGCCACGAGTGCAGCAACCTCGTTCAGGGGCCCGCCCAATTACGTGTGAAGTGGTATTAGGAACTGGCAACGACCATCGAGTACGGCCTTATTTGATGGGGCGATTCGTTCAATGGCAAGACAGCTGAAGAGAGCCGATGAGTGTGGGCGTTGCTGCCGAAGCGAGAGGGTCACGTTGAGCTCAGACTAGTGGGCATTCTCTGAGAAGGACTCGAGCGATGCGGATGGACTGGGGTGGTCCACTCTGTGGGCTGGCTGCACTTGTTGCCGTCTCTGTCTGTACCCACTGGCCTTATCCACTGCAGACCATTTCTGTGTGTGTGTGTGTGTGTGTGTGTTGATTGGACGGTGTCATGGATGGGTCGTTCCATCATGGGGACAGTGTGTGAGTGGGGTGGTTTTGAAGAGATCAACGAAGCGAATAGAGTCTTGACGCCACTGACTGTGGATGGAGTCCAGTCAGCCTTTGCCCATCACTGGCAGACACACACCACAGCACAGCACTGCCGGCCCGCCGGCCCTTGATGGAAAACGCCGACCATCCCAGCCCTTAATAGAACGGCCCGGCCTGGCTGACCTTTTTGATCAGACCCGAGCTCACTCAATCACGCAAACCTCATATATGACGAAAATGACACACACGACACGAACACACACTCAGAGAAACACAGCACAGCACAGTGGGTTGAGACATCCATCAGACACACTCACACAAAAACCAGCACCCACCGCCACGTTGCTGGTGTATCCGGGCGACAAATCGATGCAGGCAGGGTTGTGGGCAGCATGGCTAGGAGTGCTGCGGAGCAGCGTAGTACCCTGGGTACCGTGGGACGGTCGTCACGAGCGTCTCATCGACGGCGGTGTCGACCCCCACCACCTCATCGGTGGGCGGCAGACACTCGCCTGTGTGCTCGAACCATATCAGCTCGGCCTTGCACGGCACGGGGGGCGTGTTGTAGGGGTACAGGCTGTAGCACAACACCTGAATCCATCGCAACACACACACACACACAGATACGGCACCTGCATCTCTGCTTTGCTCCCTCCCTCCCTCCCTGACCTGAACGTACACCTCCTTGACGCCATCCGTGTCGACAACGATGGTCGTCTGCCATGGGCGCACACACACAAGCGACCTCAGGTGCTGGCCATGCAGGCAGGCAAGCGTCTTTCTCTTGTCTCGCAGACCTCGTACTGTTGCTTCTCGGCAGGGTCACCGAAAGCGAAACTCGCCAGGCCGGTGTCGGTGGCCACAATGAGGTCGGCATTGCCCTTCGTCACGTCCAGGCCCACCACTGCATGTGTGTAGACGCACACACACACACACACACACACACACACGAGCAGCACTCAATCGGGGAGGCGGGAGCGGCAAGCAGGCGTGCTACTGACCGAGGAGCGGCGCTGTTTCCTTCGGCAGGTCGATGGCGGGCAGATAATACGAAATGTTGAGCAGATTGTCGGGCACCGGCAGGTCCAACTTCACATTCCCAGACACCTCGTCTGCATGGCAACAGCGATTCGCACTCCACACAGTGATGTCACAGACGAGCCTCTATGCATCATCGGCAGACTGACCAGGGCAGTCTTCGAGGTCCTTCGGGTCGTCATCAGTCGGAGTGTCGTCACCATCAGGTGGCGGCCGGGTGGTCTTGTCGGCGATAATCGGCTTCCTTCTCCTTCGCGAGGGCACTTTGTCCTCTGCCCCCCCACCCACACCCGCAGCCCTAGCCAAGCCCATCGGCACCGCCGACATCGCCATCCGCCCTGCCCGCTTGTACATGACGATCTGGTAGCCGTCCTCAATCTCGGGCAGCATCTCCTCGAGCGACTCTGCCATAAGGTGGAGGCGGAGGTGGATTTTGCTGCCCTCGGGCAGGCCAGTGGCGTTGTGGAACCGCCCCATGTTGGTGGACTGCAGGCTTCTCTGAGGGATGAAGTCTTCCGCCGACCAGTTCTGCGCACGGGCGACGAAAAGGCCGCATGCAGCAAGAAGGGCATACATTAATGCCATGCCGGTAGCCGTTCCTGGCCACCCGGCCGCACACACTGTACAGCTTTTGACGGTTGGCGGATCTCGAAATGCACCTGTTTGGCGGCCTGCTACTGCTGCTGCTGCTGCTGCTGATAGCTCTCTGTAAAGCGCAAGACATCTCGCAAAAGCTCATCTGCAATCGTATGCGGACACACAGCACACGAAGGACAGACAGACAGGCAGACAGGCAGACAGCCAGGCACACAGGCGAATTCCTTGATCCTTGTCTGTGTCTGCCCGTGTTGTGCAGCCACCGGCGAGCTCCCCCTGGCCTTCGACGAGCAATTTGAGGGTTCGCTTGCCGACATCCACGGCCGATGGACACTGCTTGACGAGTGCCCTAGGGCGGCCTGCCGGACGCCGGATCAAGTGTGGGTGCAGGACGGGCAGCTCCATCTCAGGATGACGCACCGGGAGCAGCCGTACGAGAAAGACGGCAAGCACATAGAGTTTGACGTGGGGGGGGTTGTGACCAAGGAGTCGATGGGATTTGGCTACTACGAGGCACGGGTCAAGTTCACGTCATCGGGGGGATTCTGGTACGGCATGACGGCTGCTCATTGAGGGAAGTAACAGTGTGTGTGTGTGTGTGTGTGTGTGTGTGGATCAACAGGCAAGCCTTCTGGCTCAACGCCTCGCCCAATTCTGTCAGGTGAACGAACGAACAGGGAAGCTGCTGGGCCCCCCAGACTGACTGACGTGCTTGTCTGTCTGTCGTGGATGGGATGCCCACGAAGCAGCCCTGTGCCTGGTCCTCGGCAGGAGCATGACATCGTGGAGTACATAGGCGGCCACGAGTACATCGAGATTACCATCTGGAGGTGCGGTGGCGGCACACGTGTGTGGTGTCGTTCGTTCGTTTGCCCATGCATCCGTCCATCGATTGACTGACTGCCTGCCTGCCTGCAGATGGAGCCCGAGGCCCTATGAGATCGTGGGCAAGAGCCGCCTCGAGCTGCAGCAGCCCCGCGACTACGACTCTTGTCTGTCCTACGAGGTCATGCGGCTGTCGAGGTCCTTCACGCAGGAGGAGGTCGAGAAGAAGGCACAGTGGGAGGGCGACCCCGAGCAGATGGTGCCCGGCATGAACAGTACAATGATGAGGGAGGCAGAGGAATTCAACCCCGCCGACTGGCACACCTACGGCATGCTCTACACGCCTCAAGTGGTCCGCTGCTGGCTGCAGCCAAGAACGAGCTCTTATATGACAGCAATCGTCTGTGTGTGTGTCCGTGTCCGTGTGCGTGTCTGCAGGCCTTCTTCTATCTCGACGGCTTCCCAGTGCGCAAGTTTGACCTGAGCAGCAAGTTCAGTGCCAATGAGCTGCGAAGGCAGTACACCTTTCTGACGAGCCAGGTGACCGACACGACGGCCGAGGAAGTGACGCTGCCCCCCGGCGGGGAGCCCGAGGTCATGTACGTCGACCACTTCAAGTATTACAAGCTGCCCGGCGTGCAGCCGGGGTATGCGCCTTACGAGATGATCATGGAGGCTGAGACAGACAAGGACACCGAACTGGGGAGGTAGTAGGGAGGGACTAACAGGGGGAATGGAAGGCCTGCGTGTGCTGTCGGCATTTGTCTAAGTGGTGGCTGGCGGTGAGAAAGTTTCCTCTCTTCAATCTGAGAGATCTACAGCTGGGTGCTGCTGCCTGTCTGTCTGGCCAAGTGCGATTGATGGGAGAGAGGAGAACGAGGCAGGACAAAGGGGGGCATAGCGTGTGTGTTGACGATGGGACGGAGAACGCAATTTGCGTGCACACACAGAGACAGGCATTAGTGGTACACAGACATATATGAATGACATCTTCATGACAATGGTGGACGGATGGAATGATCAGTGCTGTGGGTGGGTTGTGAGGGTGTGGCCGGTATCCCGCTCATCAATTCGTTCGATGACTGCATCACGGTCATGAAATTGTGATCTGGTCTCATTCCCATCGGTCTTCGAAAACACCCCACTCACACACTGTATCCATAACGGAACAACAACCCAGCCATCCGTATGCAGCCTCCACCAGCCTCCTCTCAATCGTCAACCAGTCCGCACACACGCACACACACACACACAGAGAGAGAGAGAGAGAGACAAATGATGGTGTGCCGCGCTTATCTCTGCCTGGTGCAGCACACCCACCCCTCAGCCATGGTGGGCGTGGTACTGCGATGGCAAGTGCGAAGACCCCGGCTGCTGCTGCTGCTGCAGGTGGTGGTGGTGGGGGTGGTGTGGGTGCATCACAACACGATAGTCCCCCAGCAGCACTGGCATGTGCGGGTGCACAGCCCCTGTCACATTGGTGGCCGTGTGTGCCGTGCTGCTGCTCATGTAGAACGACTGGCTGCTCTGCGGCAGCGGTGGCGGTGGCGGCGGTGGTGGGCCGACAGACCGCCGCGTGAGGTCCATATCCTCATTCAGATGGTGAAACCCCGGGGGCGGCATGGGGATCGGGTGGAAGGGGAAGCCATGATAATGAGGCGGCAGCACTGGCACGCCCATGCCTACTGGGGCGTAGCTGCTGTCAGTAGAGGGGGCGGGGGCTGTCACTTTCTTGGTCAGTGCCTCTTTGGGGGCGGCTTGGACGGCTGGCGGCTGTCTGTACTGGGGTGGCTGCTGGGCTGCAGGCACCATCCGCTTGCACACCGACGGGCCTGTCGGCAGACGCTGCAATCAGTGTCAGTCAGAGACACAACACAATCCCACTGCTTGCCTGCCCTGCGACGGTCTTCTCTCCTCCTTACTTTGAGATGTGGCTGCTGCAGCTGTCCCGGCGGCCCCTTGGGAGACTGCTGCTGGCTGGCGATGGCCGCAGCCACCTTGCTCAGCCCACTGCCGGGCCCACTCCCGTTGCCCTTGGCAATCTCTCTGCCCTTGGTGTCTCGATCCCGATCGCCGGTCGTCACGCTCTTCTGCAGCCCACCCGTCTTGCGCGGCACATAGCGCTCCTTGAACGAAGACGCCAGCCGTCTGCCCTCCTCAACAGCACTCACACCCACACCCACAGCAACGCTCTCTGCACTCCCAATCCCGCCGCCTGGTCCCAGACGAAGCTTCAACGCGCTTATGGGCTTCGACACGATAGCAGAGGAAGTGTTGCTATTGGAGCTGGGATTGGAGTTGGTGTTGGTCTCCTCCTCTTTCTTGCCGATAACGCGCCGTTTGGCCGAGAGCTTCTTGGGGGGCGGTCCGGCGATGCCGTTGGACGCATTAGACAGCTGCAGCGGGAAACGGTCACTCAAATCGTCTGTCTGCTTCTTGTCCATCATTCTCCTCTGCCCCTGTCCAACGTCAGGTGGCCGGGGAGGAGGAGGCGCAGGCAAAGGGACCGCCCGGAGCGGCGGCGGTGGCACATGGATGCTGCGCTTCGTGCCATTCTCGACGCCGGGCAGCTCGATGGGCACATTGGGGTATGCGGCGGGGTCAGTTGGGACATATGGTAAAAGGGATGTCGGGATGTTGAAGGTGAAGCCCATCATGATGTTGAGCTGGCGCGGGTCGTTGTCGAGGAAGGGCGGGTCGGAGAGGATGAGTGCGATAATGTCGTTGGGCTGCAGCCAGGCCTTCTGGTTGCGCTTGAGCTTCAGCCCGTTCAAGTAGGAGTTGTTCACGCCTGCACACGGTGGGTGGATGGGAGACACACACATGGTTGGCATGTCTGTCAAGAGCATTCGTCCATTCTTTCTGCCTACTCAGGTTGGTCAGCAGGAATCCGAATGCGGGCTTCACTGCCTCCTTGTCCGTCCGATCGGCCAATGCCGGCAGAGGGAAGAAGTCGATACGGCAATGGTGGCGACTGACGCCTGACGTACGCAACAGATCACAGACATCAATGAGACGAATCACCGCATTCCTTGTCCTTCTTCTGTCTCCTGTTTACATGTGTAGATCTCGTCAGAGCCCAGATTCTCGAAATGGATTCTGAGAGAACAGAAAGAGAAGACGCAATCTTGAGAGACAGGCAGGAACCGATCAGACAGATGGCACACACACGCACCTGAAGTGTGAGTGCAGTCGGCCGAGGACCTCGGGTGGCGGCCCCTCCATGCCCCCGTCTGCCCGCACCACCAGCCGCCCGCCGCCATACCGACGCCCCTCCTCACTCACCTCAGCCAAATGCTCGCCGCAAAACTCCAACACGAACGCATTCTCTGCATCCGCCAATCCACCCTCCCCCTCCGGCACCCGTTCCTGGTCCTGGTCCTGGTCCTGCTCCTTCTTGTTGTTGTTATTATTCTCGGTTAGGCAGCTGCCGGTGCCGGCCTCGAGGTCGTCTGTGTCAGTGTGTGTCGGCTGCAGCTCCTTCTTGTCCGGACTGGCGTCGTGGTACCGATCCTCAGAGGTGGCGGTCTCCTCCATCGCTGTGGCAGTGTGAGTGCCCTCCCCACCGATGTCGGCTGCTGGACCACCGCTCCCTCCCTTGCCCTCCGTCGTAGTGTTTTTGTCCGCCAGCTCCTCCTCTGGATTGTCTGACGGTTGCTGCTCGTCACTGGTGTCGATCCTCCCGCTCTCACTTGGCGCGCCGCCGTCCACGGTCTCTTCCTTTGCTATCAGCGAGGCCTCCTCCGCCATGCCATCACTTGCCGCCGCCGATCCTGATCCTCCCCGCTCGACCACGTGACTATCTGCAATGGCCTCCTCCTCTTGCTGCGCCTCGTCCCTTGCCCTCTCCCTCTCCTCCTTGGCAACGGCACTAGCACTGCTCGCGCTGCCCCCCTCGTTCTCACTGCCGGTGCATGGCGCCACCGCACAATCGATGTGAGACAGAGACCCCAGAGCCAAGATTGGGCCCAAAGACGACCGCCGCCTGTCGTCCTCAAAGGAGAAGGAGGCGTTGTCGCCCGCCGGCGCGCAGATGGGCGCGTTGACGGCCGCCTCAAGCTTGACCGGCGTCACCGATCGGTACATGTGCGGCGGCATCTGCTGTGCTGGTGGGAACGAGGGCCGGAAGGGCGGGCTGAAGCTCTGGTGGATGTGGGGGGGAGGAGGTGGGCCGGCAGGTCCGCGGGCCGCGAAGAGGGCAGGGTGGTTGAGATGGGGCGGCAGCGGTGGCCGCATCTGAGGAGCAATGAACCCGAATGGGGGCGGAGCGACGAACGGGGGATGCTGCTGCAGGGGAGGCACCGGTGGGGCTACACCAGCAGCAGGCGCAGCAGGAGGCACCTCAGCGAACGACTGGCTCCTCTCGCGGTGAATGTCGGTCCTAAGAGCGTCCCCGTGTGAGCTGATGCGGCGCACCGACTTGCCCTGGGCTATGGGTGGGCGGCGAGCCACGATTACTGGGGGATGGGGGAAGGGCATCTGGGGGGGCATGTAAGGGGGGAAACGGGGCGGCTCGGCAACGCGCGATCGAGCCTCGTTGGGCGAAGCCTCGAGCACAGTCTGGTCCCGAGACGCTTGCTCAGGCGACTCCGGTTCCTCCAGCGCATCACTCTTCACCGCTGCACACACATATATGTTCAAACAAGCCCTTGATGTCTCTGTGTCGGCCGGTACTTCGCTGACACATCCATACCTTCCTCGACATTTGATTCTTCCGATGTCGGCGGTCGGTTCATGCCCCCCTTGACGCCACCCTTCTGGCCCTCACCACCCCCCGCCCCTGCAGCGACGATGGGGGCGACTAGGAACCCTGGGCCACCTGGCCCGATGCTCACATTCGACCCCTTGCGGCCCATAGATGGGGACAGGTCGGCGCTGGCAACCAACACAGGGCTGGGCAGCGACGGGTGCACAGGGATCGGCTGGTCTGTGCTTCTGATGGTGCGTCTGCGGACCAGCTCAGCAAGGCTGGAGAGATCCTCTGAACAAGGGGAAAGGGGAGATGGGAGAGACATGCGCTTGTGTGTTCGTGTGTGTGGGGGCGCACCGGTTGGGAATGGCAGTGCGAGGTCGTGGTTGAGGGCGTAGTCCAGGAGTGGGTGTGTCCTGCACCAGTCTTCGATCATCTGCTCCAGCTCTGAGTACATCTCGTTGCTCGACGGACGCTTCGCATCGTTCGGGTTGATGCATCTGAGAAAAACAGAACAGACCAGGCCGATCGCGATAAGTCCTGGGCCTCTTTCTTGTCTGATCATTTCCCAGCTGGCACCCACTTGAGAGCGAGTTCAGCGATGCCGACTTTGATCTCTGGGGGGAAGTGGGCTCTTGGATCGACAAGGGGCAGCAGGCTGTGGGGATCACTGGGGTTGATGTGACGCACAAGGTAGTCCAAACCGCCCTGGACACACCCATACACACATGCCGCAAGCCATGCAGCAATGAACGTGGTCCCCTGTCTCCACACGTCAAGTCAGCCCACCTGTGGGTTGACATGAACCGCAGGCGGCCGTGCGGTGAGCAGCTCCAGCAGCACCATCCCGAAGGCGTACACCTCCGTCTTGTCCGTCACCTTCCTCGTTCGGATGTAGTGCGGACACGCATAGCCGGGGGTCCCTGCAACACAGGCAACGTGGGTCAACAGATGGCATGTTGCGATGCCATTGGGCACAGGCGGACCTTCGGCTTTGGCCACGACAACCTCGTCCTTCTTGGCTTTGGTGAGACACGCCAGGCCGAAGTCGGCGAGCTTGGCGTGGCCGAAGCGATCCAGGATGATGTTGGCACACTTGATGTCTCGGTGGAAAATCTTCGGCTTGGCATTGTGCATGTGATTCAAACCACATGCGGCCTCCACTGCAACCGTTATACGATGGTACCTGCACACGCACCCACACAAACACGCATGTGGGGGCTTCTGGCGCTATGCTGTCCTCTGCTCTGCCCACCATGGAAATGTGCGATTTCGTGCTCTGAGCAGTCGTGAGACGTCTCCTCCCGGCAGCAGCTCATACACGAGAAGCTTCTCGCTTCCCTTCCCCGCCCACCCCATCAGCACCACTATGTGCGCGTGCCGCAGCTTGTTCAACACACGAACCTCATGCAGAAAGCCGCCCTCGTCAGGGATCTGCATCAAGCACATGCACGATAGACGTGGCCCTCTCTGTGTCTGTGCGCTGTCTGATCTATCGTCTACCAGGAGTCGTTTGACCGCCAGCTTCTGTCTCTTCAACGTGACGGCATAGACCGTTCCGTGCGTCCCCTGCCCCAGCTTGTACTTGTCGCTCCAGTTCTCCGTCGCCCGCCGGATGTCCTCGTACTCATACAGGTAGCAGTTCTCCACACACGCGCTCCCGGCCGCCTCGTCGTCCTTCTTGCTGGAGAGGGCAAACCCAAAGATGCTCTTCTTGGGCGGAGGGGGGGGGAGTTCGCCGGCGTCATCGTCCGTGGCCTGCCGCTTGTCGTCCTCGCGGCTGGCTGCGGCGTAGGGGCTCGCTTGTACGGGACTGCCGTCTGGCCTTCCATCCGAGGTGGGAGAGCCGCCAAAGAAACGACGACTAAACATCACGGTGGTGCGGGGAGGACTCGGACACCGTCCTTCAGTCAAGGATCATGCCGAATGGCAGAGCCCGATCTGAAAAGCGATTGCTCCGAGTCGACGAATAGTCTCCTCCACGACACCTCTGGCCCTCTCAGACTGGTGGCAGCTTTGGTTCTCCTCAGGCTGCCTTTCTTCTGAGACGGCTGCATGGGGGTCTTTGGCCCCCAGCGAGCTACGCAATTTGTTTGTTCCTCGGCTGTCAAGAGCCGCCCCGGCATTCTTGAAGTTCCCCGAATCCCATTTCATCCCAATCATCCCCTCGAATCATCCTATCGTCGAGCCTGAGAGCGATTGTGTCAGTGAGTCATGGCCCGCTTCCCGTCTCTGTTGGGAGGGTCTGTCCTCTTGATCGTGGTGATCATCTGCAATGAGCGCGGTGCGATGGCCGCCGTCCTCCTTCGCCGCAGCACCGAGGGAGAGACGTGCACCATGACCTTCGT